AGAACTTTATCAGTAAGGATAGCGAGGCTGACAAGCCGCCCCAGCGCTGAATCGCGAGGAATTTCTGCACTCAGGATGTCGACAAGGGGAAGCAGATGGAACCGGGAAGATTTCACCAGTTCTGTGAGTTGACCCTGCGTTTTCAGTGAGGGAATCGAGTTCGGAGATTATCCTATCCCAAACCCTACCAGGGCCCTGTACATCCTCGAGACCTCATCTGGCAAGTCTGAGTTGTGACAGCGTCCCGGTCAGGGCCCGAAGCTAGGTACGTGCTATGATTTCCTCTGTTCCGCAACATAATACAGCATATTGTGCTACCCTGTAAAACCCTATAACGTTCCACATATCGTATAAACACCTTATTATATCCTCGCACATACTATGATGTCCTAGACTGTCCTAGAACATCCTGTCATATGCCATGTTGTCCTTTTGCATGCTTGGGTGCGGAATGTTATAGGAGAATATAGCGGGTTTAGAACATGTTATAGCATATGATCGTCTGTTATACTATATGGTTTCTTCGGATATGACCCGTCACTGCAATGTGTTATAGCTGGCAGGTAGCGGCTGAAAAGGTCCCTAACATTATAGCATCTTATAATGCATGTGTTATAATATCTAAGAGGCTGTGATAGTATACCATGGCATAACACAGGTGTTATAGGGTTTATGGTACATTGAGCAGCTTTCGGGCTCACTGGTCTAAGCTTCCTTGGGCAGCCCAGCCCGAGGCACGGACATCTTCTGGAACTACCCGCCCCTTGCCTCACGAGTCATCAGAAGCTTTCTGGGGCGCTGGGGGAGCTCATCGTCCAGGCTGCAGCAGGTCATGTGAAGTTGCAAAATCCCCACTTGGAGGATCATGGGACTTAGTAACTGGGGTTATAAATAATGTGACTATAATTACAACCCCGACTACGGTACTTATAACCTTACTTACTAAGTCCCATGATCCTCCAAGCAGCCTCGTAGCAAAGCCGCACTCTCTTGTGTTGGTTCAGCAGTCAGAAGCGTATTATGCCAACCGAACGAAGAAGTGCGACAAGTCCGCGACAGCAAGACCGACAAGCCTAAACCCTAAACCATGCATGCTCAAACTCAAGCATACAGACATAGCTTGAGCTGAATCTACCGACTTAACCTTTCAAACCCTACCTCGCGACTCGCTCAGCCATGTAGGAGGCAAAAAAAACCCTAAACCCTAAACCATGTTCGTTGAACAATCGAATCAACAGGAGGAGTCGCAAAATGCACGGTTACACCTGCCGTAGGTGGGACAGTGCCTAAACCCTTCTAAGTCTATAAAGCCTTACCGCCCTAACCCCAATACAAATATGGTGAACGTACTTCTAACTCTACTTACTTAGACCCGATGATCTTTGAAGGCACGGCAAGTATGACTACAGTTACCCTGCTCTTCTTCTAACCCTACTTGAATTAACCTGATCCTTCCCCTAAACTTTATTGGTCCAAAACCCATTTTTCAATTTGTGGGGCTCTGTGGCATCTCAATGCATCTCAAAATCTCTGGGCGGAAATCCCTATATAGCCCGATGTAGTCCTACTGCAGAATCACGAGTTGGGGGAGGGCTCCGGGGAGTTGTAAAGGTCTTAGAGGAAGTAAGAATCCCAAACCCTAAACCCTAAACCATCCCAAACCCAAAACCCTAAACCCTCATTTTCGTGACTCCGACTAAGGTCTGATTTACCCTCCGGCTCCGCCCTCTGGAAGTTCTTGATGGACAAGGTGGGCCAGGGATTGACCTACTTGGAGGATCATGGGACTTAGTAACTAGGGTTATAAATAAGGTAACTAAAATTATAACACCAATTACTGTACTTATAACCTTACTTACTAAGTCCCATGATCCTCCATGTAAGGCGTCAATGGTACTGCAGGGGTTTAGGGTTTTGAGGGTACTATAGGTAGGGGTTTAGGTCGTTTAGGGTGAAAGGGTCTTGTGTGGTCTTTGAGATGTTTCAAGGTTGTGGAGTTTGGCTTCATTCAAGAGCGAATTTCGGAGAAAAGCAAGCCTTCTATGGGAAATTCTGGGGTCACTGAGAGCTATTGAACTTTGCAGGGGGCCTTTTGGAGTTCGTTTCCCAAACTTAGCGTATCCGGCGTATCCCTTTTGCAACAGTCGGAGCCTGGCCTGCAACAGGGGTCCGAAAATCTACCCCTGGAAGACACCCAGGTCTACCTGCCCTTCTACAAGCGTCGCGCGCCCAGGAACATGGCGGTGGGGGGGAGGTTATTGAGATAGTTTCAAGGTTGAAGACGCTGATGTTAACCTGATGCACTTTGGGGGTTTGTGGCTTGAGGGTTTCGGACATAGTGTTTGGGGCCATCCTCCCTCCACTGAGGGTTCAGATTAACTACATGGCACAACACGGAATCTTCTTGATGTCCTCTCTGGTCCTAGAAATGTACCCAAACCCTGAACCTGAAGCCCTGGAAACCCAACCCTCGCCCCTGGATCTTAAGAGCCCGAAACCCCTAAACCCTAAACCCTAAACCCTAAACCCTTAAGCCAAGGTTTCATGGTAAAGAGCCCGGGCTCTCTGAAAGCCGTCCTGAACGCGGTGGCGGCCTGGAAGCCAAAAGGCCGGAGAAACGCGACGGGGCTTTGGGTTTACGGTTTAGGGTGTTCATTTTCCAAGGGTTGTGATTTTCTCACAAATCCTACAAGGCGTACTGCACCACTGGTGTTTGGGTTTAAGAATTATGGCGTAGTGCTGGGAGTTTCGGGACGGGCTTCGCCGCTTCTGTGTGCTTTGGAGTTGGTGTGTGTTGGGTTTTCTGCTTCAAGCTGCAGGACGGTTCCATGGTTAGGGTTCAGGGGTTAAAACAGGGGCTAAGGGGTTTAGGGTTTAGGACATGACTACCCCCTGCCTTGCACTTGCGTTCAAAAGCAGGTCGTGCATCGCACAGAGAGCTGCGACCATCCAGTAACCTAGGAACCTCAGCTGGTGTAGTTGTGCAACGTTTGTCATCATTGGCCATCATATAGTCTAAGAACACTTCAACGTTGCATGCCTGCCACTCACCTTTTCCATGTCCTCCATGTCGTTGGCACGTTTCCGGTACTGCTTGGTGTGGCAAGGCTAGTCTTTCGCTACGAAACCAGCCACGAAGCCAAGGATGACTCCAGCAGATGCAGTAGAGTAACCTTATATAGAGACGTTAACAACCTGAACAAGGTTTGGGGTGTAATAAAGTCTAATACCTAATGAAGCCCTATTATGTCTAGAAGCCCCCTTATTCAATAATTACCGTTTAAAGGGCCTGCTCAAAAGAATCCTGACACGTTGCTTTGCAGGACTGTTGCCCTGCCACGGCAAGTACGTGGCCAGCGGTGCCTGGCAGCTGTTTGAGGGCCACCTCACTGGCGCTTCGTAAGAAGCTGCGATTTACTTGAACCCCCGAAAAACCTACCTTTCTTGGGGTTCCTGAAAGATGCAGGGTTTTCGGTGGTTCAGGTAGGGGTTTAGGACTGGCTGACACTTAGAGCCCAGCTGCAAAAGGTGAACAAGCTGCCTTGGTTGGGCTCGTGGTGAGATTCTTCATTCTGTAAGGTTTTCGTGATCGTGATCCATAATCCTAGCATCTCAATAGTAGGGCCCCCGCAGAATTAGGATTCGGGGGCCGCAATAAGGAAAACCATCTCTTGGGTGTTTGGGGCTCTTTTAAAAACAATAGGAATGAATTGAATCTCTTGTAAATTACAAAGCCATCGGAAAAGGCTTGATGTATGGAGAAAACCTCCACGGGCTCTTTGGGCTCTATTACATTTAAAACAATAGGAATGTATTGAATCTCTATTACAAAGCCATTGGTTTGGCTTGATGTATGAAGAAAACCTTCACTGGGCTTTTTGTTTGGACGAAATAAAGGAATGTATTGAATCTCTGTTAACAAAGCCATTAGATTATAGATTGCCGGGCAACCAAGCTTTCCATCATTACCAGTAACTAGTTTTCTTAGCTTGGCAAAGCAAGCGAGCAAACTAAAGCAAAGACTGCCGGAACGCTCAGCCATGCAGGAGGCAAAAAACTGCAGGAACAGCCGGGCCCGGCCCCTTAGCCGCCTCACATCTGGCGGCATTTTCTATGTGTTCAGATGTGTTCAGAGAGCACGAAGAGAACACAAAAGGCTTCCGGTGCATGCGCACCGCCCCCTCCCACCTCCCGCCCCCCTTTTTTGACCAGCTTGTAAACTCTCCGGATAATGTGGGGGATGATCTTGAGCTTGATGTTTCGGGTGATCTTAGTGCTAGGGCCCGAGGCTGGCCACAAATGTGGTGCCTTTTGTAAATCTGGTTCGATGTGCTGCCGGGCAGGCACCATTCCGGGTAGCTCCTTTTTAAGCAAATTAATAAGAAAGCCTAGCTTTCTGAGAGGCCTGAACTTTTGGAAAAGCTTGGCCTTGGAGGGCAGCCTCTGCTGATGGGAGGATCCAGATGCAGATTTGTCTCACAGCAGTGCAGTTTCAGGGCAAATGCCCTGCAGATTGGAGATCGGCGACAGAAATGAAGAGCAAGCCTCAAGCTCTGATCTCTCAAACCTTAATTAAACCTCCAAAACAATTTTCTTTAATTCTGGTGCCTCTTCCTCACACGAAATCCCGGCAAAATGGAAACACCTCTTCCAGACCCAATCCGCAAAAAAAGTTCTTTAAATGTAGGGGATTTTTCCAATCAGATCCTCGGATTAGTCTGTAGGTGGTGGCAGTGTGCACGAATGACAGGCTAAACTTGAAACAGGGCCCGCTTTGCGGTCTGCAATGATGTATTGCGATCCTTGCCATCAGCTGATTTCATTTTCGCCGTTTGCCTCCTCCGAGCTTCAGATCACGAGGTGTTTCTCATCTGGCTCACACCAACTCTCAACTCACGGCTCCAGTGTGAAAGCTGGGAGCCCTCGGTGATGTCGGGGGTGGAAACCTCGGTCTTGTCTCCTCTGTTGTAGCCTTAAAACAAGCAGTGTCAATGACTGAGGCTGCCGGAACTGCTTGGATTCGTGACGGCTTCATTGGGGCTCGATCTGACGGCTGCTCTGAGCTTAGACTGTTGAGGGCAAGCTCCAAGGCGAATCTTTCAGGGTCAACTTGAATGCCGTGTCTCTTTGCAGAGCGCTACCTTTTCAGCGGCACACGCCTATGTAACTTCTTGTGCGTGTTTGTGTGTCATGTAAGGTGCATGGATGGATGGATGTATGTATGGGAGATGATGTGGGTGATGTGTGTCCGCTGGGTCAAGTGTCGATTGCTAACGGACCCTGCAGCAGTTTTGAGAGCTGCCCTTGACGCGTTTGGCCCAGTCTGGATATAGCGAAGCAGACTCAGGTAGACGGAGCACTTATTCGCAGGAGCTAGGAGTACCTCATTTACGGCTTTTGCCAGGGAGCCATAACGCGGCAGGGCCGAGGTAGGACAGCCTTGTGATTCGCAAGCCTCTTCCTTACACACAGTTCTCTCTTTGTAATGAAAGTGGCTGCTACACAGACCTTGGCGAAGATCCTGAAAATCTTGCAGAATCCCGAGGAGCCACCGAAAGCTAGATTGCCGTAAGGTGCGCAGGCTGGGCAGATCGGGGAGCGCTGCTTTGGAGATGAGGTCCCGGGCAATCAGAGCGGCTATTGGCAACAGGGTAGAATTCACTCGCATGAACAGTGGCAGAGTGGTCTAGAAAAGTCGTAGCACAGAAGGTGCAGCTAGTGAGTCAGTAATTAGAAGGAATCACTTGCTCGGTGTTATTCGTCGTGCTTCTGCTAGTAGTATTTTTGTTCCAATTTGACCGGCACTAGCATCGACAAGCCGACGAGGACTGGAATATGCAGTTTCATCCAGATGATCATTTTATTCCAAGCCTCCGGAAAAACTTCGGATTGCCAAAGCCAAGACCAAATTTCGAGGTGCCGCAATGATCGACCCTGTATGAAGCCTGCGAACCGCTGTCGTGGTAAACCCTTATACCTCTTCGCACGGAGCCAGGGCGTGGCCATGTCCACGTATGAGGACACCGACTCAATCATCCTCGTGCCTAGTCAGAGAGCAGTGCTTGGGCTTGTTGGGGCTTCGGCAGAAGCGGATTTAAGCGTTTCGTGGTTTTCTTTCGTTGTGGCCCAGTGCGAGGCAGAAAGGTCACTACACTCTTTTCTTCCTGTTACAGTATCTCCTCAGTCTCCTCAGCGCAACTGCTACCACACGGCAGCGACGACGTCGACACTCCTGAGAGGCCTTGCAGGTTAAGCAAGAGTTTGAATGCAGAAGCCAAACCCAGGTACTGGTATTGCTGAACCGGCTGAACCCTCTCTCTAGCCCTAATGGAAGACACAAGTGACTACCTGGATTCCTGCGGTTGCACGTCTTTTTTTTGCGAGTGTCCGGGCTGGGTTGACGGTCACGTTCGTGCAAGCATGACATGACACCCTTGCAAGAGTCGAATCTCGGCCAATCCGCAAGGTGCTGCAGGCGGGGCTGGGAACCTCGGACCTGGCAAATCTCATTTGGCAGAACAAGGCGAATGAGCGTTTTTGAGAAGGGTTGTAGTGGGGTGGGAGGTTGGGGGGTTCAGAGGTTTGCGGCTGGAGGAGTCTTTTGTTTCTTGAGGGGTTAAACGGTTATGTGTTCAGAGGCTTCGGGTCGCATGAGCACAAAGAAGGTTACAACCCCTCGAACTTATCCATAACCGCTTACACTCATCATTCTTCGTCGCCTCAGAATCACAGTCGCTAATCCGCAGCATCAGGCACAGTGGTTATCACCAATAGCTGTGCTGTTTCCTATGGCGACTGCACTGCCACTACTGTACTTCTACTCCTGCGGCTGCTGCTGCTGCTCCTCCGCGTGCTAGTGCTACTACAATATACCTACAACTTTAACTACTGCTACTGCTGCTGCTGCTGCTGCTGCTGCTGCTGCTGCTGCGACTGCTACTACTACCACCAGTACTACTACTGCTACTACTAGCACCACTACTACCACTACTACTACTACTACTACTACTACTACTGCTACTAGCACCACTATTACTACTACTACTACTACTACTACTACTACTGCTACTACTGCTACTACCACTATCACTGCTACTACCACTTACTACCACCACCACCACCACCACCACCACCACCACGACGACGACGACGACGACGACGACTACTACTACTACTACTACTACTTACTACTACTACTACTATTACTACTACTACTACTACTACTACTACTACTACTACTAACTATAACTACTAATTATAACTACTACTACTACTACTACTACTACTACTGCTACTACTACTACTACTACTACTACTAACTATACCTACTACTACTACTACTACTACAACTACTACTAACTATAAGTACTACTACTTCTACTACTTCTACTACTACTACTACTGCTACTACTACTACTACTACTACTACTACTACTACTACTACTAACTATAACTACTACTACTACTAACTATAACTACTACTACTAACTATAACTACTACTACTACTACTACGACGACGACTACTACTACTACTCCTGCTGACTGCTGCTGCTGTTACTGCTCCTCCTGATCGACCGTTTGCCACCCCATAATTGTGGATTTGTTGATGTGCTTGGAGTGCTTGTTGTTGTGGTGCTGTTCAACTTCAAGCGTTTTCGATGCGTCGTGACGCGAGGCCTGGTTGCTGGAGCAGTTTGAGCCACTTGGAGCGACGTCAAGCTTCAAGCTTCCTGACCTCACGCCTGAACCCGCCGGACATAGTCCTTTCACTTCCTGTGTCGGTAGACCAGATGGCCACTGCAGCTGGTTTCGTAGAGCAAACGCGCACGAGAGAGAGAGAGAGAG